GCTATACATCCTTTCAGTAAAATTTGTATCTCACCTGGTTTCAAAAATACACTCAAGCACTTGCATTTTTACATACTGTACCATAGAGTATTGCTACTAATTCCTTTCACTCACAAACCTGGTTGGTTATTTTGAAACACTTCCTTCTCTTACAAAAATGGGTCACCAGATTTGAATGCAAAGGAAGAAAAAACATTACTCTCTAAGTCGGGGTTCTTTGGCAAAGCCCACAACTTACCTCATTTCCTACAACTTTTACTTTCTAGTTTGAATACCGTATACAGTAAAAAGTTGTTACGAGTAAAATAACTTTTTAAGTCTTAAGCCTAAAAACTTTTTACAAAGTAAAATCACTCCCCCAGTGGGCATGCCCGGAATTCATGAGGAAATCTGCTTTCAAGTTGTTCTGATGGCCCTGAACCAGATGCTCTAAGGTGGCCAGAAACCTTTGTCTACACCCACTTAGCAGATTTCTGGCTCTTTATCAGGGACTAAGAGGTTTATTTGCAGAAATGAATCATTTCCTTCAAAATATCCCTTACCCTATTTACATGCTTGCATATTCCTTCCATTTTGTTTTCCCCCTACAGCTTTACTAAGGGAATTAATTATCTGGAAGAACAGGAACATACAGTAAGTACATCTGAGATACAGGATGAGACACAGTATGTCATCTATTAGGCCTGGCTAAGACCAGCAGCTGATGCTAAATGGGAAGGAACATGCACCAAATGTTTTTTAATCACAAAGTTAGTAATTAATTGCTCTTTAAAATACATTTTATGCTTCTTTCTGTCTGTGTACATGAAATGCACATTTATTACATGCCAAAAATTACAACATTATGGTTTAAATGTGACTGGCACGGAAGTCCGGAAATCAGAGTTAATGTTCCCACAGCAACTTTAATTCTGTCCGTGTGCACATGTAGAGCTGTAATAGTCTTCCATTCCAGGATAATACATATAGATGGATTTGGGAGGGAAGCTAAAGACCCATATCCTCAACTGTAGTTACAGGAAAGAAACAAAGGATAAAAGCTGTGCTCTTTTCCACGTACGTGGATAAAAACAATGTCCCCATGCCCGGTGTTGTGTAATCAGGGAATGAAAGAATCGCTGTGATGCCGGCACTCAAGGGGACAGTTTCTGTTGCTGTGGGAACCTGAACTTTGCATTTCCTGACTTTGGGGTAATTAAAATGTCAGCCTTAATGTGGCATTAATGGAGTTTGCCATAAAAATCCTCTTTGTTTTGTTCTTTAAAAAATTGCTTAAAAGTTCAAAATGAGCCAAGTGTACTAAAAATGTTAATCACAGGGACTTGGACGGGCGAAGCGAACGGTTGGGAGGGGGAAGGCCGAGGAAGGTAGATGACAAGAGGTGGAAAAGGAAGAGCCCACCAGGCTCCTCGACAGCATTCAGCCCCAGCAGAGTCATGCTACCTTCAGAGCTAAAGTTAAACCCACCCACACAACAGTTTGGTAATGTGCAAAGGTTAAATTAAAAATAAATAAAAACTGTTAATGCATAAGTGCATCTTGGCAAGGACACGACAAATGAGATAGTCTGATGAGGCCAGTGCAAAACACGGGAAGGTAAGTAACCACGGATATCAGCTTCTAACAAAGGAAAAGACATCAGAACAGGTGGATCTACAGCCAGAGGTAGGGAAGACCGCCAAAGGGAGGAGAATCACTTCTCCCTTCAATGGGAGACTTCCTTGAGGGAAAATAAAATGGAAGAAATATGCAAGTTCTGGTAGCGTCTATCACATGTATATGACTGTGATGTGGTACAGCTTGATAGCTGTCAAGAAAGGTTTTTCATATGGAGAGCTTCGTCTGCTCTACTGACTTGGTTTAGTCCCGTTTAAGCATTTAAAGGGAGAGCTTGGCTCAGCTCATACTCAGACTGTTCAGTGGGTAACTGCTCTGTCAAACACCTAGGGATTTTCTACCCTTTGCATCCCCAAACTCATCTTAATGCCTTCCATTATCATCATCTGAATTTGTTTACCATTAGATTTTCAGAGATGGTGAAGGGGTGACAGCCAGTAGGTAATGGGGAAATAGTGCTAAAAGGAAACTGTGCGAGTGGGTGCACTGCAGAGCAGCACACATTTCGGCAGCAATATTAACCTCATCATCTCACAAAGGAAAGCATCTCTCTACTATATTCCTTCTTGTTTTGAGTATCGCTGGGATCTTTTACCAAATTTGAGGCAGCTCACCAGGTTAATAGCTAACTGAGAATTTATGGGGTCAGACTCATCGTCTTTGCTCTAAAGCACGACCTGTGTCCTCCATATGCAAGACACAGTGGCTTACCCACCCTTGCCAGTCCACAGGCAGAGCTGACTTTTCCTCTGTGAGGATGTTTTAACAGTCATGTTCTATAACCCAGTCACCAATATGAGTAGTAGCACATTTTCAGTACGCCTGTTTAAAACCAGGAATGCCATTTTTGGGCTTGGAACAGAGAATTCCCATGAGAAATGCTCTCACAATGAGGGAAAAAATCCATAAACAACCCTCAGTACCCAAATGAGTTAACCACGAACAAGTCATTCATCTATTTGTGTATCAGTTTTCTCATCTGTAAATTGGGGAGAATCGTACTGCCTGACAGGAAATCAGCATTAAGGCATGACCAAGAATAATTTTGCTGAACAGACGACAAATAAAAAGGTGCTATAAAAATTCAAGCGCTGTGGAAGCTTGGAACACCGCATACTGGTGGAATGTTTCTGAAGTTAAAGAGACTAACAAGTCAAGGGCACTATTTTTAAATGCCCCAAATCTGTTAGTTCTAAATAGGAACTGAATATTTTACCTTAAAGAAATTAGGCTTTTAAATTAATCTATGGTAAGAATGACATTTGAAAGTAAAAAAAAAAAAAAAAAAAAAAATCCTCTTGAATGCAAGAAGAGCATCCAAAAATTTTAACAGCTTAAAATAAAACCTTTTTCCTGTCTTCTCTCAAGCAATCTCCAAATGGACAGATTTCTGTGAATCTTTCCTAAAAACAATTTTCCTCTAAGTGTAGGCTCAAATCAGGACAAACTACAATCCAAATATATTTGGGGAAAAGTATAATCAATTTGAACAACAGGTTAGAGCAGAGAAGACTTACACATCTTAATGGCAAAATCAAAATGACTTTCTAAACAGCTGGAGATTAGATTTCTCCTCCCAATTTGTTCTCCTTCCAACTGCATTCAGACGCCCTACTGAGCTCAAATCCACTGGCTTCCTCAGGGTCACCAAGGAGCTATATGGCAACATCATACTGTTCCTTAAACATATTTCATGTTAATGCCTGATAAGGTACAATAAATGAAGCCCAATGCTTTTTCTATTCTGCAAAACATTCATTTTGCTGTAACAGATTTCTGGGCTAAGGCTGTTCTGTGCAATCCACACCCATAAGGTGTGGCAGAAAGCCAGGCAATGAAGGTCTGCACGCAGAAGCTCCAGGCCCTTCACCACGGGAATGGGCTACCTTCCTGGTAAGTGTGCACATGTCTATGGGCACTGTGCCATGCTATCTTACAATTCTTCCTGTAATTACTATTAGGATGGAGACTGCCAGGCAAGAAGGTCCAAGGATGTGGCTATTACAATGGTCCACAGAACAACAGTCCTTGCTTCTGACTTCTAGGTTTCCCTATGGAAGCTATAACTTTGACTGTACAAACACATGGGCCATAGAGATTTGGATCACATTATTTTTCTTTTCATTTTCTAGTGACAGCTGGAGTGTGGTCTCAGCCCAACCATAAGCAGAACAAGCTCTCTACACCCCAATCCTGCTCCTACCTCTTTTCCCTTTATCCAGAGACTATTATGATGAAGCAAGTAGAGAATGGAATCTCTCAGACCCATTCGCCTCCTGCCCTCTTTGCAGAATTTTACATTTGTTCTGTCAGAAAAATAACGATAGGAGATTTAGAATCTCATTTTCTAATTAATAATATTTATCTTTGTGGACAGAATTTTATCATTGAAATAAAACTTTCTTGGTTTTATATTACTCATTTTAAGGAAGAATATGCCAGTTCTTTGCTTGTTTCCAGACATCCTTTATGGAGATCAGTTGAGAAGAGCTGTTGGGTATCTTAAGACTAAAAGGAATATTCTTTTGGATTCCACCCCAAAGTTATTTCATTCCTTTCCATTGTCAACACACATGTTTCTTTCTCTCAAGTAAGGGGTTACATTTCAGAAAGAGAAAAAAATCTCCTAAACGTGATTTATCAACTTTCTTAAAATAGAATTTGAAGAAGTGACTCCCAGATTAGTGGGAAGATGGCAAAAATAAACAGCAAAGAAGTGATTTCAATAGTGACGATCTCATTAAGCTGCCCATTTCCAAATTTAGCCCTCAGGCAGTTTTTTTAATTAAAAAATATTTTTAACCTGAATTCTTATTGGCTATGTGAGGTCTGGGTGGCTTCTGAATTCTTGGAAGCCATTCTCTTTTCTTCTGTAAATTTATGCTATCCTTTAACCACTTCAAAATAAATTAAAAACTGGAAAGACAGAAATTCAGCCAAGCTACATGAGACTCCAATAACTAATGCAAATCTGACTTGTGTTATGTAATTTCAAAATGGATGTTTCCTAGTGTCTAACTGGCCTTCTGAGGTCCATATTTGGATGTTCAATTTAGTAATGTTGGAAATACCATTATTCAAAACAAGAATAATTAGAAAGCAGCAACCCAACTTCTTTTTCTGAGTTAAAGCTATGAAAGAAGATGTGGTCCATATAATTAATCAGCCTTCTGAGGCCAAATGGCTGGTCACCTGGCTTTAAGATATACTGTAGCTTTGAAAATACACAGATGTTGGCTGAATCAAAATGGTGGCACGTTATTTTGGCTCCTTTAGCAGACCAAATGCAAAGGGCTTGCTCTGAATGCAAAACAGCCAGAACCCAGGGTAGAAGCACCACTCCAAGCATTGCGGAGACACCATCACCTTAGTGGTGTACTCACAATCAGATGACCCGGTGTGAGCGTGAGAGTTTGTCAGTGAATGTGTTGAGTGGATGAGGGCTGGGTCTGGAGACAAAACAGCTTCAAAGTTCAGGCAGGGAAGGCCCGGCTTGGCGCTGGATCCACCCGGCTGAGTAATCTCATTCTCCTCAGATGCCTTCTGGTTTTCAGCTGTCTTGGGTTTCTTCCTGAAAATAAACAAAGGGCCCTTTGAAGGAACTGACTGCATATTTGGGAAAAGGCATTTTTAGAATCTGTTAAAGATAACTTGATTTTTTTTTCCTGAGGGGGGATGGGAGGGAGTCCAGTATGTCCCTTGTTTTAAAACAAGCTGATTCTTGTTTTTTTCCCTCCAGTAATGGCCTAACTGGGAACACATGAAAGCATATGGGCCAAGCAAACAGCACCACATTTGGACTCTGTTGGCTGCATAAAAAGACCCTGTCCCAGAACTTTAGACAGCTTGAGCTACGTATGGCTGACATTATCCAAGAAAGCATCCTCCCCCCACCCCCCTTAGGAGTTTTAACATGGTCTGGAAAAATACTAGTGGAGGTTTACCGTTCTAGCATTTGTCAGGAAGCTTAGAGACAGGACCCGTGGAGTAATGGGAGGAGCACTGGACTGGGAGTCAGGAGACTTGAGCTATGGTACTAGCTGTGCCTCTAACTTGCTGTGTGGCCTTGGGCACCTCACTTCACCTCTCTGGGCTTCAGTTTCCTCATCTGTAAAATAAAGGGCTTGGATTAGAAGGCCCTAAAGTTTCCTTCCAGCTTTAAGTTTCTATTTATGGAACATGTTATGGAACATTCAACTTTCTTGCTGTTACTAGATTTTACTCTAAATCAATACATAATTTTAAATAACATTGTAAATTTTCAGTCTGTACAGATGAGGAAGTAGTGATGGAAATTTTTGTTAGAGTAGCAAGTGAAAAGTGAGAAGAGCATAGATTCTAGTAGGTAAATAAGGAAGGTGTCATATAGAGACCCTCTATGCCAACTCATCACTCATCCTTCGCTTAAGATTTCCTTTGACTTTTGATTTAGGGTATGATCCTGGAGTTCAGGAGTATGATTGCATGTTTTGGATGTGAGGAAGAGGTGGGTGAAGGGAATTTGAAAGTAATTGTTACTAATTGTTATTTGGGGTCAAGAATAGGAAGTAAAATAGCTCAGCTATCAGTCAGCTCAGGTCTCCTCTCCCCAGAACAATGCAAGTGATATTAAATTTATAAATACTTATACTGTATGTACCCTAGACCTCAGCCAAACTGAATTATCAGTCCCTGTACATTTTTCCAATTTCTTGGGCTTTGTGCCTTTTCCGTCATTATGTGGATAGTGATCAGAAAGAGTATTTTATTTTTCGGTAGAGGATTATGTGTGGTACAGAATTTGTTGTAAGTAGATTTATTTCCATGTTTCCCTTATTACCATGAGCATGGCAATGGACTTGTTATACAGACTATTTTGTAATGAAATTTGCTGTACTGGGTAGTTAAATCTTCTCTTGCAGAATATGGTGTTATGGTTAGTATGCTGTGTTTTTGGTCCAACAGGTTGTGAAATCAAAGCTGTTTCTTTAGAGGGCAGGAGGCAGAAATGGCATGGTAAAGGTTAGAATAGAGAGGAAGCTTTCTGACATCTTTTTTGGTATAGAGGAAGTCAACATAAGAGAAACAACAAATTGCAATGTCTTTTCAATTGTTCGTTGAACAGTGACTATGGCACTAATCCTCAAATCTTGAGCATATATATGGACCCCATGGAGCTGGTGTTCTGGTTTTCAATCTGAAGAAGTATCCAAGATCAAAATCTCCAAAGCCCAACTCCTCTTTTCTGTGAAAACCAATGCCTCCTCTCAGGTCCCTATTTCTATCTCTGTTGTCTGCCACCAGGTTGGAAACCTCAGTGTCATTATATACCTTCTTCTGCCTTCAAGCTAATTTATCAACAAGTTCTGATAATTCTGCTTCCTTCACATTTTTTCACATCTATGTTTCCTTTCTAATTTCACTGCAATCACCTTACCACTTTTTGTCTAATCTAGATAGCGATCTGTTGTTTACTAATTGGCTCCATCCTCCTTGACTCCTCTAGTCCTGCTTCTTTGCATGCACTAAATTTGAGATGGCTACATTAGCCTGACACTCAGGTCAGCTCCACACCTGCCCTAGCTTTTCTCTCGTGTCCTATATATGGGCCATACTAGACTCTCAAATTTCTTGAATTTTCCCCAGGACATCCTGAGAATTGACATTCTTGGCTCTACATCTTTGCTCAAATTATTTCTCTTGCTTTGAACATCCCCTTTTTCATTTCTGTCTGTTAAAATCACATTTATGCTTCATACTTTTTAAATGTTATCTATATCTTGTATCTGTACTCATTTCTCTCTACCAGATAGGACTTCCTCCCCACCCCTGAATTCCTCCCTACCTCTTTCTCTGAAATCCCTAACCCCTTTTTTACTAATCTTATTTTACTCACTAAGTTTTATTGCAACACCTATAGTTGGGACTCAAGCATTACAAAAGTGATCCACGTAACCTAAGACATTTGTAGTCCCTTAAAATTTTGAAAGAAAAAAAAAAAGAAACAACAAGCTCTCTGAGAGTAAGGAAATGTCTTAGTTATTTTTGTATTCCCTGTGTTCACCCATTCTTTCCTTCTTTATTTCCTTCCATCATTCATTTATTCACATATTCATTTTACAAATATTTATTATGTGCCTGTGATGGGCCGGCATGGGCTAGAGAATAAAACAGGCCTGTTCCTGCCCTTCCAGAGCTTACTGTTTAGTCTATGCTGTTGAACAGAGCAACCTAGACAAAGCTGTCATTCAATAACTGTTCACTGGTAGAATGAAATGGAGCTGAAATGAGAATGTATTTTGAGAATAGTCATAGTTTGAATACTAATTAAGTTTCCTATTCTTTATGTAGCAGTGAAGTCTACCTTGAATGGCTGTTTTTCCTTTGGATCTGTGAAGTTCATTTAATAAGAGTAGGGCCATTTTGCTCAGCAAGGTTAGGTTGGCCCTCATGATTCATTAAAATGAATCAGGGACAAAACACCGATGGCATATATCAGTTAGTAGAAAAAAAAAATGTTTATTTCTGATGCTATAGACAAGGACTAGGCTAGTTCCAGGTATGCTTCAGAAAATTAAGGAAGCTTTCTTTTAAACCTGAGTATATGGCCAAACCACCAACATTACTCTTATTTTTAGTTGTAACAGTTGTGTTGTTCTTCATATCAATGCCTTTGCTTCCTTCCCTAGATTTGATCCTGCTTCCTACCTGACTTCCTACCACACCCTCCTGTTTGTTGTCTCAAGGATCACTTTGAGAGAACATTCATAGCATAGAGGCACTGGAGCTACCTCTACACGCAGGGAATATTAAAAACTCAACCTTTTGCCTCACTCCCTCATTTGCCCAATATCGCTTTACCTACCTTTATGGCACATATAACAGAGAACCACTCGCTGTTCTTAGAAGCAATTTGTTTCCTATCTCACCCTCACTAACAGTTCTTTTGGACTTGGTTTTCTGGAGCTGAGAAACACTAAAACATAAAACCAGTCCATGTCTAGACATGCACAGGTGCTGTTATTTGACCTCATTTTTGCGGCTCATAGTTTATTAAGGAGGAAAGAGTAAGCACTGTCATAATTAATTGAAAATACATTCTTTGGTTGTATAAAGAGAATTATATAAACAAGGCACATCTGAGGGCAAGTCTTTCCAAGCCTCTGTGGCTATGCATTATTCCCTGGAGCCTTTAGAGGGCAGCAGCACACTGGCTGACTCCAGGCCGATTTTGGAGAGGCGAACTCCCGACCAGAACCTTCCTCCTGGTCACCATGCCAAAGGTTGATTTGCCAAGCTCTGGCCTCTCAGGCTCTTTCTTTCCTTTTAGTTCTCATTCTCTCTCTTTCTCTCTCTCTCTATCTCTCTGTCTCTCCTCTCTTTCTCCCTCTCTGTTAAAATTATACACTCTGATGAAGTCGCCCCTCAACCGGAAAATGAAAGCTCCAGTGAAAAAGTTAGACAAGCCAACAACAACAGAGAAAGAAACCAGGGAAAAGGGGAAAGGGGGCTGGTGAGGGGGAAGGACTTAAGAACAAGAAAAGGGCAGATGTTTCGTAAATATATGCAAAGCAAAACTGGGTGTACCCTGAACACTTCCACAGAGAAACAGACCAATCATTGTGCACTTCCTCCCGCCACACTGGTGGAGCTCTGCGTTCAAAAAGGAAAAAAAAGTGTGGCTGCAGGCACCCGCCTTTCAACGGTCAGTTCCGACATTCTGACTGAACATCTCCCAATTGTCCAAAGAGAACAAAAACATTTTCATCTCCCCACTGCAAACATTTCTGTTACGAGAAAAAGGCTGCTTCAAGAACTGGGAGGGCGTTTTAAGGTGACTGGCGGCCGAGTTAGCCGGCAGAACCTTCTGGTTTTTAACTCTCTTTGTGCTGGCCCTGGCAACAAGTTTTGGGCTGAAACATAGCAGTGAGTAAGGCTGTGGAGGATGTTGGCTGCTTCTTCACTAGACCATATTGTATGTGGAAAGAAATATGCATTAAAACATATTGATGAGATGGTAGGTATTAAGCATGTTAAATGCATGGAAATTAACCAGATCGGCGGCATTTGATGTATATATTTCACACTCCTTTGCACATATTGCACACATACAGCGATGGCAGTGCTTTCTGCAACATATGGAAAAATAAATATTTTATCTGTGTGAGCTCTTAGCAGTCTCCAGGGTCTGTTGAAAGAAGAGTGTTCTCTTCTATCTCCCTCTCCCAATTTTCTCCCTTCACTGGGCTCCCACCCTCCCCTGCACATTAACATGCCTTCCACTTATCAGCCTGGTTGGATAGGAATCAGTGGAACCTCCTTTTGATAAATAATTACTCAGCCACTGGCTCATGATAATTTAGACCAGTCATGCCTCCTCCCATCTCTTTGGAGAGGTAACCATTTCCCTATTCCTCACCAGCGCCCCCAGCCCACCCTCCTGCAAATAACACATGGAAAAGGCTTAGTCGAGTATCTGGGCAGGGGAGAAAGGGAAGGTGGTAACAAACCACGTGGACAAGGGGTGGCAGCAGAACTGAGCTCCACTACCTGGTAGGTGTATGCCCTATCTAGGTAGGCAGATTACTCTGC